TTTTTTCATCAACATATTTTTGTGAGACTTTGTTCTCAGCATTAAATAATATTAAAACGAACAAAAGAAACCGGCTAACAGATGAAGTTAGTGGCGCTTGCTTGGCCTTGAAGTGCACCAAGTATGAACCTGCAACCGAAGAATTAGCAAACAAACTTCAGCACCAAAAAAGTCACTAATTTCTAGTTTTCATACAATTTTATTATCATTGTTTTTATTATTATTTTTTCCTAAATGTACATTGTTTTTCTGTTTTTGTTCATTTTATACATATTTTTTGGTTGATTTTTCTTTGTTAAATGGCATTTAAATATATAAAATAAATATCAAAAATATAAATCTTTTTTTTTTTACTATGGTTACAAATATAAAAAAAAATTATGAATATTTCTATATGTGACACGGCACCAGAGTTAAGTTAGGGTTTTTCAAAATTTTGACATGCCGAGCTCAAAAGGTTCGCCATCACTGGACTATACTCTTAGTTGGGGGTGGGGAGGAGGGGTGAGTAGGAAAGAATTGCATACAAAATAAAACCATAAACTCTTATTAGTAGGTTTGTTTTCTGTAGTGGTATGGTATAGTAATTCTGAAACTATTTTACATGTACTGTAGGACTGAACAGATAAGTAAAAGCTGTGATGTTTGGGGAAGCCAGGAGTTTAAAAAAGAAGGAAGATTCAAATATGCAATGTGAAGAGTAAAGAAAGATTTCTGTGAGGATAGAGTGGAACTGGAAAAATCAGTTTGAGCTCATGAGTTCCAATATACAGATTGTATGTATACAAGAAGTGGGACTTGCAGGACACCTAAGTTAGGTTTACTGTATGACATATAATATTGTCGTTTTATTATATATGTATATATGTACGTATTTGAATTTCCTACTTCTGTCCACTGAAAGGGCTTAGAAGCACATATAGCAGTGAGCACACCCAGTTCCCATATTTTGATTTCTAAACTGCATTCCCCAACTAAAAGAAACCTGTGCTCCTTTCGGAAATAGCAAGTTGCAGGATTTTTGCAGGGAAAAATTTTAAGAGCCTGGAACATCTTGTGCCACAAAGTAAGGAAGTACTCAAAGAAAAGAAAAAGTTGATCATGTCAAAAGGACATAGGAACCACTTTGAACTGTCAAATAAACAGAATAAATAAATAATGGAAAAGAAAATGCTCTCCTGCCTTGGCCAGTGTGGCTCAGTTGGTTGTCCCATTCACCAAAAGGTGGTGGTTCCCGGTTAGGGGATATACCCAGGTTGTGGGCTCAATCCCTGGTTGGGGTGTGTATGGGAGGAAACTGATCGATGTTTCTCTCTCTGTCTCTCCTTTTCTCTCTCTAAAATCAATTAAGAAAAAAAAGCAAATGCTATTCCTTGCTTTAGAATGTTACCTAATAAATGTAGAAGGAAATCATCATTACTATATAGTAATAATACTTCCAAGCAAGAATCATCAATTACTTAAAAAATCTAATGAGAAACAAGATCCTTTAAAGTAACACCCATATCAATATTAAAAACTTCTGTACATCAAAGGAAAAAAGCAACAAAGTGAAAAGATAACCTATGGAATATTAAGAAATATTTGGAAATCATGTATCTGATAAGAATACATAAAGAAGAGCTAAAGCCCGGTCAGTGTGGCTCAGTGGTTGAGTGTCAACCTATGAACCGGGAGCTTACAGTTCGATTCCTGGTCAGGGCACATGCTGGGGTTGCGGGCTTGATCCCCAGTGGGGGGCATGCAGGAGGCAGCCAATCAATGATTCTCTCTCCCTTCCTCTCTGAAACCAATAAAAAAAAAATATCTATGAAAAAAATAGCTAAAATTCAATAACAATAAAAAAAAAACACTTAAAAAATGGGCAAAGAACTTGAGTACATATTTCTCCAAAGATACACAAATGGCCCATAAGCAACATGAAAAGATGCTCAACTTCACTAATAATTAGGGATATACAAAATCAAAACCACAATCAGATATGACTTCATACACATTAGGATGGCTATTATCAACACAATAGAAAATAAGTGTTGACAAGGGTGTAGATAATTTAGAACCCTTGTAAGTACTGCTGGTGGGAATGTAAAATGGTGCAGTTGCTATGGAAAACAGTATGGTGGTTTCTCAAAACATTAAAAATATAATTACCATTTATATGATCCAGCAACTCCACTTTTGGGTATATGCACAATAGAACTGAAAGCAGGGATTAGAACAGATATTTGTACCCATATTTACAGCAGCATTATTTGCAATAACCCAAAGATGTCCATCAGTAGATGGACAAACAACAAAATGTATATATACATACAAGCACACGGAAATATTATTCAGCTTTAAAAAGGAAAATCCCTATAACGTGACAACAAAGATGAACCTTGATGACATTATGATAAATGAAATAAGCCAGTAACAAAAAGACAATGTACAATTCCATTTATATGAGGTACTTGGAATAGTCAAATTCATAGAGACACAAAGTAGAATGGTGGTTGCCAGGGGTTCAGGAGAGGAGAATGGGGAGTTAATGTTTAATGAGCATAGAGTTTCAGTTTTACAAGATGAAAAAAGTTATGGAGATGGATGGTGGTGACAGTTGTGGAATGTATTTAATGCCATAGAATAGTCTTTAAAAATAGCTCAGATAATAAATTTTATGCTATCTGTATTTTACTAGAATTTTTAAGAGTCTCATGCTCTACCGACTGAGCTAGCCGGGCGCGGTTGTATTTTACTAGAATTTTTTAAAAAACTATCTCGCCCTGGCTGGAGTGGCTCAGTTGTCCCATGCACCAAAAGGTCACCAGTTCAATTCCTGGTCAGGGCACAGACCTAAGTTGACTCCCATATGCACCCCGACTTGGGAGCCAACTGATCGATGTTTCCTCTCACATTGATGTTTCTCTCTCTAAACTAAATAAAAACATTTAAAACAAAAAGTTATCTCCCGCCCTGACCGGTTTGGCTCAGTGGATGGAGCGTCGGCCTGCGGACTCAAGGGTCCCAGGTTCGATTCCGGTCAAGGGCATGTGCCTTGGTTGTGGGCACATACCCAGTGGGGAGTGTGCAGGAGGCGGCTGATCGATGTTTCTCTCTCATCGATGTTTCTGGCTCTCTGTCCCTCTCCCTTCCTCTCTGTAAAGAATAAATAAATATTAAAAAAAAAAAAGTTATCTCCCAAGAGCAAAGAGAAAAAGAATAACTTGACAAGAGAAACATGGCAAATACCAACTTAACCAAGTGATCAAAGTTAACATCACCATTAACGAAACAAATACATACTATGTGCTTCTTGATATGATACACTGATAAGGAAAAAAACACATATTAATTCCTGCCAAAAATGCTTGATCAGAATTTAATAAAGAGGAAGTATCAGACAAACTCAGACTGAGGGACAGTCTAAAAATAACTTGCCTGCAACCTTCAACCATGTTAATGTCATTAAAGAAAGAAGGCAAGGCTGAGAAATTGTTCCAAAATAAAGAAAACTAGAGAGACATGATATCTAAATATAAACATGAACCTGGACTCAATTCTGTATTAAAGGGAAAAAAATGCTAAAGGACATTATTGGAACAAATGACAAAAATGAAATATGGGTTGTTGATTAGACAAAAGTATCACATATCAATGTAGAGTTTAGTGAAGTTGATAACTGTACTATTTAAAAAAAATTTTTTTAAGTCCTCACCTAAGGATATTTTTCCATTGGTTTTTAGAGAGAGTGGAAGGGAGAGAGAGACAGAGAGAGAAACATTGATGTGAGAGAGACACATCGATTGGTTGCCTTCGCACACGCCCCAACCAGGGCAAGGGGATCAAGCCTGCAACCTAGGTACGTGCCCTTGACAGCAATCAAACCTGGGACCCTTCAGTCCCCAGGCTGATGCTCTTTCTGCTGAGCCAAACCGGCTAGGATCATTATGCTTTTTAATAGTACAGTTATCACCCTAGCCATTTGGCTCAGTGGACAGAGTGGCGGCCTGGGGACTTGAAGGGTACTGGGTTCTATACCGGTCAAGGGCACATGCCCAGGTTTCAGGCTCAATCCTCATTATTGATGTTTCTATCTCTCTCTCCCTCTCCTTTCCTCTCTGAAATCAATAAAAATATAATAAAAAGAAAAAAAGTATAATGTATGCAACCTACTCTTGGATGGTTCAGAAAAAAATAAGATATGCCCTGGTTGGTTTGGCTCAGTGGATAGAGCGTTGGCCTGTGGACTGAAGGGTCCCAGGTTCAATTCCGGTCAAGGGCATGTACCTTGTTTGTGAGCACATCCCCAGTAGGGGGTGTGCAGGAGGCAGCTGATCGATGTTTCTCTCTCATGGATGTTTCTAACTCTCTATCCCTCTCCCTTTCTCTCTGTAAAAATCAATAAAATAATTTAAAAATTTTTTTAAAAAAGATAGATAAGATAGATAGATAGATAGATAGATAGATAGATATGGCAGTATCTATAGATAGAGACAGCAAAGGAGAGAAAGAAAGAGAATGCTAAAACAAATGTGGCAAATGTTAAGAACACTGGTGAGTCTTGGTAAAGGGTACATGAGTTCTTTACACGATTGTTACAACTTTTCTGTAAGTTTGAAATTATTTCAAAAAAGTTAAAAAAGATAAATGATACACATACATATATAGACTGAAATAAAATAAAAAGGTAACAAATGCATTTAAAATAAGAAATTGCAAAAGTATAGCTTCCCAAAAAAGGAACACATATCTTACCCCAGTAGTTGCCACAGGAAGTGGATTGGCTGTGTAAAGGCTTCTTTTTCCATCATAAACTGGCCTACGGTCCCCAAATATAGTTACTTTAAAATGCTGAACCATTGAGTCAACCACCTCCCTACAAAAGGGAAAAAATACATTCACATAATCTTCTACATGATGAAATTTTAACAACTTAAAGTAATTTCTTAACATTATTTAAAGCTGTCAAAATTCTATCTACCCTGCCCCCTTTTATTTTTGAGAGAAGGGAGGGAGAGAAAGAAACATCAATGTATGAAAGAAACATCGATCAGTTGCCTCCCATATGTGCCCACCAGGGATCAAACATGCAACCTATGCATGTGGCCTGACTGGGAATCAAACCGGCAACCTTTCGGTGCACAGGACGACATTCCAACCACTTGAGTCACACCCACCAGTAAAGCTGCCAACATTCTAAAAGACAATCACATGTAATAAAAGTTTTGCTTTCAGGACCAGGCTTAGATATCAGAAAGGGATGATAGGAATTTCACACAAAAATAAAGAATGAATTCAGTGTATTACTTAATCATTCTGGGCCACAGTTGACCTGCAAAATATTAATCTTAGAACCTGATCTAAAAATCCCTTTCACCATCTCTAAGCACCATCCGACACATTCATCTTTCTTTGTCTAAGAGTTTGATGCTCATTCCTCTGTGCTCAAATAGCACCTAGTAAATATATCCATTAAAACACTTATTGCTTTGTATTATCCTATATAATAAAAGGCTAATATGCAAATAGACTGAACAGCGGAACTACCAAAACAACCAAACAACCAGTTGCTATGACGTGTGCTGACCACCAGGGGGCACACGCGGAACATGGTGGGCATCAGCCACGGCAGGATGGTGGAGCAGGTGAGCAGGGGCGCCGGATCAAGGCAGGGCGCCGGTCGCTGTTATTGGGGCAAGCCTCTGATAGTTACTGAAAATTCTTTGCCCCCGCATGCTGCAGCCCCACCTGGTGCTTGCACTCACTGCCGGCGCCAGAGCTGCTGCTTGCACCCACTGCTGGCACCTGGCGCCGTCAGCAGGTTCGAGCAGTGGCTGCCAGCCCCAATCACTCCTTAGGGCTTCTCCACCTCCCACTGCTCCTGAGGGGCGATTGGGGCTGGCAGCCACCTCTCACACCCACTGCCGGCGGCAGCCCCACTCTCACCCACTGTTGGCGCTGGCCCCGCTCACACCCGCAGCCAGCACCAGAGCCCCCACTTGCACCCGCAGCCGGTGCCCGGCACCAGTCCCACCATCAGTGGGTGTGAGCGGCGGCTGCCAGCCCCAATTGCCCCTGAGGGCTTCTCCACCTCCTCCTGCTCCTGAGGGGTGATCACGGCAGCAGCTGCTGTTTGTACCTGCTGACAGCACTGGCCCTGCTCGCCGCACCTGCTGCTGGTGCCAGCCCCAATAGTTCTGGGCTGTTCAGTGGGTGCGAGTGGGCCAGCGCTATTAGCATGTGGGAGCAGCAGCGGTGGGAGCAAGGCTGTTGGCAGACAGGAGCCTGGGGACTGCGGCGGGAGGGGCGGGGGGGGGGGGGGGAGGATGGGCCTAGACCTGCCCCTGTGCCCACTGCAGCCTCATAGCCCACAGTTCTTTTCAAGGTGCATGAATTTGTGCACTGGCCCCCTAGTAGTTACTACATACTTCACTTCTACTAGACCAGGGGTGGTCAAACTTTTTGACTCGAGGGCCACAATGGGTTCTTAAACTGGACTGGAGGGCCGGAACAAAAGCATGGATGGAGTGTTTGTGTGAACTAATATAAATTCAAAGTAAACATCATTACATAAAAGGGTACGGTCTTTTTTTTTTTCTAGTTTTATTCATTTCAAACGGGCCGGATCCGGCCCGCGGGCCGTAGTTTGCCCACGGCTGTACTAGACTGAGATTCTTGATGGTAATAAACACACCTGTACCTTGTACCACTCCTATCCTTTTACATACACTCCCCATCTTTACTCAAGTCTCCAGGCAATAAGGATATTGTAAAGCCTCCATTTTTACCCAGCAAACATTTTTATCCCATTTACTTATATGGAAAGAGATTCAAGACATTTTTTTTAAGTACAGACTACAGAGAGAACAATACCAAATATCAAAAAGTCAATATTTATTTTTGTACACACATACTTTGTAAAAGCAGGGGAAAGATATCTAGAAGGATAGGTACCAAAATACATATAGTGGTTACCTCTGGAGAGAGAAGCAGAGGGAAGAATGATTTTTAAATTTTGTTTATACAAATCTAAATATATTATGATGAGACTATGCTCACATAATACTGGTATAATATATAATAGATGTAAGAGAATAAAAAAAAATTCAATTCTAGCCCAGTCGAGGTGATAGGAAAAAGAGGAAAAAAAGCATTTTCTGGAAGAAAATAATTAAGCTGACTTGATACTCAGAGCAATTTTCTACATACTCAAAGTTTCTACTTTCCCCCCTTTTCAATTTTATTTTTATTTTGCTGAAATTATTTAACTTAACGTCATCTTTTCTAGAGTAAATTTTACAACAAAGATATGAAGCACTGCTCAGTGTTTAGGTATAAAACAAATTTCAAAGATTTCCTGTCATTTCAAGTTTACATCTGTGGCCATTATCATTAATTCCAGTTTCTCAGGTGAAATTTTTATAGATCTAATTCATCAGGACATTTTTTCACTTTTTACTTAGCAGTAAATTGGTGTGGTTTCAAGCTAATCAAATCTTGGCAAACCACTCTAAGGATCCAAATGGCGGCGGAGATTTAAAATAGGGCCAAAACATCTTAGGGCTAGAAAATATTTTGCTTTGATGCCTAGCACACAATATATACCTGGCTCATCTCTTTGTCCAATTAGTTGCTGACTCCACCACTCTGCAGTATTTCTTCTTCTTTCCTTGCCTTTTTTTTTTTTTAAATTGATTTCAGAGAGGAAGGAAGAGGGAGAGAGAGACAGAAACATCAATGATGAGAGAGAATCTTTGATCGGCTGCCTCCTGCACATTCCACACTGGAGGGTCAAGCCTGAAACCCAGGCATGTGCTCTGACCAGGAATTGAACCGTGACCTCCTGGTTCATAGGTCAACACTCATCTACTAAACAACACTGCCTGGGCTTTTTTTTCCCCTTCCTCATCATATATTATACAGGTCATTTCACATTCTGGAGTACTCTGTTCAATTTGTAAAAATTTAAGATCCTAAAATATGAAACATAACCAGAAGATGATCCTGATATAAACTTATGTAGTATGAGTAAAAATAAATCAAACTAAGGACTTTTAGTCTGGAATAGAAAAGACTCAAAGGAAATTATAGAAGTTTTTGGCTATTTTGATGGACTGTCGTGAAAAACTGAGCAGAAAACCTACCTTGTATGGGCCAACAGAACTAGGACAAATAGTTGGAAAAATGTAAGAAGCTTGATTTTTGGAACAAAAATTTCTAACATTTTTAAACACCAGAATTACTCACAAGTGGATTATACTAATTTTAAATTACTTGAGTTTGTCCTTACTAGAAATGTTTAAAGAGCAATTATGTCAGGGAAGATACCAACTAGAAGATTGAAATAAATAATATATACAATCCCCTCTAACAGTAAAATATTAATTATGAGAATATCAAATGATAAAGCACTGCACATTTTATCATGGCATCAGATATAGAAACTTCTTTATCATATAATTGCACTAAAAACTGATTTGAACTTAAGGCTTTAGAGCAAGCATGTGAAACTCACAGCCAGCAGGCTGCATGCCTCGAGTTTGACATGCTTGCCTACAGCCTTAACGGAATCTAACTGGTTCATGGGTTGATAGTCAACCACTGAGCCACTCTGGGTGGGCCTGATATTATTTTTATATAAAAATTTAAGCATAATTATCTCAAAAATATACCTCAAAAATTATACTGAAGTACAGTACTGAAGCTTTCCCAATCGATACATTGCAATGCATTAGCATTAAATGTAGTAAATTAATACAAAAAATGAATTCTGATAATTAACAGAAACTATGACTGAATTTTCTCTATATTGTAGTTGTGGAGCACTAGTCTTTTATTATAACAGTGGGCGAGGATGGGAGCTCTTTGATCTTTTGTTCAAATGTAGAAATTCTAGTACAATATATGTGTATATTGTTAAACCAGCTTCTTAGCTTACAATAAAAAGTAAAACCACAATAACCAAAATACATAAAGTTATAACTTCTAAAGCAATAGTTAGGAAAGCAATTTAGAAAAGAAAATCTGAATAAATAAGGATAAGAACTTCTAAACAATCTTTAGTGGTTTCCTCTTACTAATAACCTTAGTCTGAGGTAGAATGATTTTTGCAGAGTGGAATATGATGCATTTTTAGAACATCAGGTTACAATTTAAAAATCCTTAAGAAAAGCCCTCGCTGGTTTGGCTCAATGGATAGAGCGTCAGCCTGCGGACTGAAGAGTCCCAGGTTCAATTCTGGTCAAGGGCACATCCCTAGGTTGTGGGCTCGATCCCCAATAGGGGGCGTGTAGGAGGCAGCCAATCAATGATTCTCTCTCATCATTGATGTTTCTATCTCTCTCCCTCTCCCTTCCTCTCTGAAATCAATAAAAACATATTTTAAAAAAGAAAAAGAAAATCCATAAGAACATCTGGTGATTACTACACAAATGGAACCTGTCTGAGTATGTTAGGTCTTACAAAGGGCTACAGCCTATCTCATCTTTTTTTTTTTTAATAATAAATCTTTATTGTTCAGATTATTACAGTTGTTCCTCTTTTTCCCCCCATAGCTCCCCTCCACCCGGTTCCCAGCCCAACCAGCCTTCCAACCTCCCTCCCCTCTGACAAATGTCACTGACTGTGCAATAAAATTTAATGTTGGTTTCAGTAATTTCCATTTTACCACCTGCCTCAGAGCAGAGTAGAAGAGGGTAACTTTAATGTAAAAAAAGAAGAAATTATTTTTCTGTTAATTGTTACTGTAAGGTAATAAAGAGCCATCTTCATCTAATTTTAATTTCTCTGCTCTCATAGGCAGAATGGGAATTACTCTAGTCTATAGGAGAAGATATGAAATAATATTTTCCCCTCAAGGTGACTATACACATTTGT